ATCCGGCAGCTTATGGCTTGTGTGCCTGCAGAGAGGGCCCTGCATGCCAGCTGTGGCACGTGTGCTATAGGTTCGCCATGGCTGGTGTAGGGTATGCGCATCCTCTGGTAGTTGCCTAACTCTCCTCTCAATCCTACATGGGTTGGGCAAGTTCCACCTCCAGATGTTTCTTCTGTGCATGGATAACGAAGACCATGACATCAAGATCATGGAGGAGTCGGGGCCACACACTGTAATCCATCCTTACATAATTCTAGTGATTTCAGAAAAGAACGGCTGAACAGAGCTTCTGTTTTTACACAGACAGGATCAGCTCAGTGGGGATGGAATTCAGCTGCTTAGTTACAGTGGTGTAAATATGTGGCCTAAATTGCAGCAGTGAACTGTCATGAATTAACAAGCTGTGCACCAACTGTGTAAGTTGCAGCACCACTACAGACACAAGTGATAACTTATCTACCAGCTGCCGTTAGCTATTGCAACTGACCAGTGGGATTCTGGCTGCTTGTATCTCAAAGACAAGATGGCCTCATTCCATTCAAAACAAGGACGAGCCACTTCAGTTTCTCCTGTAATCTAAAAATAAAGCCCATCTTTGGTGGATTCAGAGGGTTAGACCACTGGTTCTTAAGCTTGGGTTACTCAGGAGTTTTGGACCGCAACTCCCAGAAGCCTTCACCACCAGCTGTCCTGACTGGGGTTTCTGGGAGTTGCAGTTCAAAAGCATCCGAGTAACAAAGGTTAAGAACCACTGGGTTAGACTGAAGGGCTGAGTCAATGCACTTTGCCCGCCCTGACTTCAAATGGTTTCTGATAAATGAGTTTCTGATAAAAGTTACCAATCCTTGTCTGCGTCCCAAAGGAGGGAGGACAAATCTCACACGCTCCACCTGTTTCCAGGAACTCAACAGACCAAGGATAGGCATGATGTGACTCTACAGACATTGAACTGAACTTTTCCTCATTGCTCAGTGGATTTGACGGCTAGACTAACAAAAGTTGGAGTCTAGTGCCCAGCAGGCTCGTGTTTCCTCTCCTTCCAGAGGGGACTCTAGAATCATTTCCAAAACTACTCTGAACCCAAAGGTTCTACTGAAGGGTGTGTGTGCTCTCATTTACCTTCGCAGGCCCTCCTGACTATTTCCGCCTTGGGCCGCAACATCTCCAGCACAACAGACGTCTCTTCGCACATCAGCATGCACTCGATCCGCAGCTGGTAGCTAGAATGGAGAATCAGGACAGACCCCTGACATAGTGCTTTGATGACAGCTGCAATTAATGCTGCTCGGGCTAGTCATTCAAGGGGCCCTAAACTTCGCAGCCAGAGATCTAAGCCACTGAGCTATCCAGCAGACCAAAGTTATTTTAGAAATGCAAATAGCTCAGGTTCCTCAGAGGCACCCGCACAGAACTATAATGATTTGACCCATTAATGGAGGACAGGTCTGTTAATAGCAGTTACCCAGGACAGCCAATGGAAATGCCAAACTCAGAGGTATCGTGTTTGCTTTGATATTTTACATAGGGTGAACTTATAAAGTTGTCTTATAATGAGCCGGATGACTATTGGACCTAGTCTCAACAACAAAGGAGTCTTGCCATATCTTAAAAAACTAGTGAGTCTTACTTGGTGGAAGCTTTTTGTGGACTGTAACTCACTTTTTCCAGATGTATCTGAAGAAATGGTCTAAATTCCACATACACTGATGTCAAAGAAAAATAGTTAATTTCGAGGGTGCCACAAGCCTGGTTCCTGTTTTTGCTGCCAGCCCCCTGCACACTTCTTTCCAGCTCTTCATCATCTTTTCTGGTTAGCTATGGGTCTTGAGGTCTAGGATTAAATGATGCCCCCTCCCCAAAAAACCCCAAGGTCTCTCTGGCCACACAAGATGGAGATGCTATTGGTTGTTGCCTGGAAGAATAATATCGATCTAGTTTTGAACAGAGCTGCACTCAGGGAACGAGCATCGTCGTGTCTAAGTCGCACTGGCCATGTGACCACGGAAGATTGTCTTCGGACAAAACGCTGGCTCTATGGCTTGGAAACGGGGATGAGCACCACCCCCTAGAGTTGAACATGACTGGACAAAAATTGTCAAGGGGAACCTTTACCTTTAGAATACAGTAGGACAACACCCCCCATATCTGTTCCAAGCCTCCCGTGGATACTAAAGAATGCAGATTATAGCAAATGGGTTTTTAAAAAATAGTAAATGCTATACGCAGCATAGTCCCTGCCTCCCTCTAGTGGCCAATTCTGCTAATTTCATACTTAGAAATCTATATAGGATTTTTCTTTCAATATTTTTTAGACCGTGGATAAGTGAATCAGCAGATACTGATCCTGCATATAAGGGGGTCCTTTTGTATAGCTATAGGTCAATTGAAGGTTATAATTACAGACACCTGTCACTTAATGATTTACCTATTTTAACGATTGCTTGGATTTATACCTCGTATAGCAAATGGGTTTTTAAAAAATAGTAAATGCTATACGCAGCATAGTCCCTGCCTCCCTCTAGTGGCCAGTTCTGGTAACTTCATATTTAGAAATGTATATTTATAGGATTTTTCTTTTAATATTTTTAGACTGTGGATACGTGAATCAGCAGATACTGATCCTGCAGATAAGGGGGTCCTTTTGTATAGCTATATGTCAATTGAAGGTTATAATTACAGAGACCTGTCACTTAATGATTGACCTATTTTAACAATTGCTTGGATTTATACCTCATAAATGCGTGCTTGCATCTTTGCCACGCCCCTTCTCCATGGCACGTGATTTATTACTCTTGTATGCAGTATTATTGCTCCTCACTTATCGACCAATTCGCTTAATGATCTAGTCACTGGAACAGAACTCTGCTGTTAAATGAGCAAGAGTGCCTGCATTCTTTTTAGAAGTTACTGTTCACTCCTTGTCATTCAAATAGTTATATTTTAGTTACTTCCAAGTATCAGAATGTTACAGTACTGTATGTTGACTTGTGATACAAAACCCACCTAACAGGTGGACTTGCCCTATATCCATAGAACCTCATAATAATTGTAATGTTACTTAATTACACCTTAATTACCACAAAGATAAATTCATTATGTACAACTATTGATATCCTAGCTCTGCCTCATTTTAGATTGCTATAATGTAATCTGAAGTGCCATAATGAAACATTATCTAAAAGCAAACAAAGAATACTTCTTGCTTTACAAGTATCTTTACTAATAGACCTAATAAACTGCATGGCTTAAAAATATTAATTTCCTTTATTTGGCAAAGTTATAAATAGTTTGGATTTCTCTTACCTAGGAACACCAAGGAGTAGAAGATAGAACTGATCAGCATTTGACAATTTTTCCTTCTCTTCTTTGAAGGATTTCAAGTTTTCTATCTAAGAAGGAAAAGCAAATGTCAAGTTCTCACAACATCACTGTATTTACACACTCAACTGGCTTCATGCTTGGATGTTGTGATAAACCATAGTTTACCATGGTGTGAACAAACTTGGCTATCTCTGGAGGTTACACATTTCTCTCATTCTGATGTGGCTACAAGAAGGAAGTTGAAAGGATTTTGCTTCCATTTTTTTTAAATTAAAAGCTACTCACCCAGGCATTCCACCCCAACAAATTGTGGTGAATATTAAGTGTTTAATTTAACTAAGCCACCATCAAACCATACTTAATTCTGTTTTAGTAAGCCATCGTAATTAACCACAGTTCAGTGACTTAGGAGGAAAGCTTGGCAACTTCCTTATTCTCATTAATTCAGAATGTCTCAAATATCGCAAATCATTTCAACAAAGAATTTTCAAGAATTTCCTGAGATTTCTAGCCCCCAGGGTGAGGAGATATTGAGATATTGAGTAGTTAAAGAACAACAACCCAGAATGTTCTCTGAATTGTGTACATAATTTCTTTCTGCAAAAACAGCATGCTGTATGTGCAAAAACCCACATATAGAACACGAATAACTGGCTGATCCTTCAGAAAGATGCAGAGAACCCATGTGCTGCTCCCAATTTCTAAAATTCCATGCAAACAAGGCAGAAACCACCACACTTTCCAGCTGTGCATATGAGTCGTTCAACTTGAAAACAGAAACTGAAAGCAACAGGAAACATTTTACTGTAGCATGAGCAGAAAATTTTTGCAGGAAGTCATCAGCCAGAAGAAATTCGTGATTTCATGAATTTGGATTCTGTGACTGTGTTCTGGGTTTCAGAACTGATGACTCCATTTTGGGTTTCAATCAGAATTAAACAGGAACTATCCATGATGTTTAACACAGTCTTTGAAATAGATTCACACTTTGGATAGTTTTTTTCAAAGTTCAGATCAACACCCAAAGTGGATTAACCACGCCCAAGGAAAACAGAATCATCAACTTCATTCTCTGTCGCTGCTCCCAGACTGGTCTCATCTTTACTATCCTTCCACAAACAGACAAAGACCTTTCTCATCAGGCAAGTTTTCCCTAAGTGAATGGCTGTCTGAATGGAGTTTTTACTGCACTCAATACATTTTGATGTTGCTCATGTTTCTAGTATTCATTTAGTATTGTATACTCATTGTTACCAACATAAAAACTGTATTTTAACTATTGTAGGCTGTCTTGGGTCCCTTTTAAGGAGAAAGGCAGGCTAAACTATTTTTAAGTAAGTAAATAAATACATAAATAAATATTTCTACATGAAAATGCTTCTGAGTCCTTTTCCCTAGCCATCTTAGCAACAATGGAGGGCAGGATAAATCTACGGTTTTCTTCCTCGAAGTATACAGTAATTACAGCTTGTTATGATGGCCAAATACAGCCACAGTGACACAAACAAGAAGCAAAATAAGAATATGCTTGTTTGGTATTAAAAATTCTTACTTCATGTTTTTCCGGCAGGAGCTTCAGCAGCTGCTTGAGGACCTCAACGTCAAACTTTGTTCTGTCACCTTTCTGAATCATGTCAATTACCTCTTCATTTGAGCTACGGATGAAAGAGACTGATTAGAGGTCACCAGTATTCAACGGAGGTATAAAATTCTGCATGGAGAATTTGGAGGAAGGGGACTATCTCCTAACCCTTTCTCATAATTATTCAGTTCAGTTCGCCTGTTTCTTATCTGATTAGAATTTTGAAGCCACTCAAAGGAATGTATTGGCAAAGTTGTGGTCACTCCTCTGCTGTGGAAAGGATTACCGCCCACTCATGCTGTGCCACGCCTCAAGAGGTGCCATGCCCAGCTGGTACTGGGGGGAGAGAAGGGTGCTATTTTGTACAGAATCACAGAATAATTGAGTTAAGACTATAAGGCCATTGTGGTGGACATGGTGGTGCTGCGGGTTAAACCACAGAAGCCTCTGTGCTGCAAGGTCAGAAGACCAAGCAGTTGTAAGATCAAATCCACGCGACGGAGTGAGCTCCCGTCGCTTGTCCTAGCTCCTGCTGACCTAGCAGTTCGAAAGCATGTAAAATGCGAGTAGATAAATAGGTACCACCACGGTGGGAAGGTCACGGCGTTCTGTGTCTAGTCATGCTGGCCACATGACCACAGAAACTGTCTACGGACAAACGCTGGCTCTACGGCTTGAAGATGGGGGGGAGCACCGTGCCCTAGAGTCGGACACGATGATGGGCTCCAGCCTTTACTTTTACCTATAAGGCCATCAAGTCCAACCCACTGCTTGAAGCAGGAATCCAAATCAAAGTAGATCTGAAAAATGGTTGTCTAGTTTTCTCTTGAACGTTTCCAGCACTGGATGTAACTGGTTCCATTGTTGTACTGCTCTAACAGCTAAGACATTTTTCCTGAGAATCAGCCTAAATCTGGCTTCCTGTAGCTGGAGCCCATCATTATGTGCCCTGCACTCTCAGATGACTGAGAACAGATCTTGCCCTTCCTCTGTATGATTACCTTCCAAGTATTTGAAAAATGCTATCATGTCCCCCCCTCCCTGGTCTTCATTTCTCAAGACTAAACTTGCCCAGTTCTTTCAGTATCAAGCTCCATCCCGGTCAGCCACTAGTGCAATAAACCTCCCAAAGCTCTAGTGGCTTTCTGTCTTCACGGTTTAAAGAATGGAAGCTCACTGGGGTTCTGGCTCTTCCAAATCTATCATACGAATTATACATACAGAATGTCACTCTTAGGTAGGATTGATGAAGGGTGCAATTTTTCTCAATCTTATATGTTTGGGGTTTTTTTTTGTTCTTTTGCAGCACCTCACCACTTAAATTGCTTCAAGAAGATGTTCAAGTTGAGGCTCTTCTTGGAATCCAGAAAGGTAATCTAGAAAAATAAAACACTTGAGGTTAGTCTTAACAAATGTGTGTGCAAAAGTTACTATGGCAGCTTTTTCCTTCTTCCCCCGTGGACTCATGCTGGATCAGCAGAACTCTCATGTCACCTTAAATGAACGGGAGCCTGTTTTGTTAAGGAGATACGTGTAGGATAACCACCTACAGCTACTTAGTCATAGAAAGATCACTGCATCGTGTGTTCTGTGCGGAAAAATTTCACATCTTGATTTTGTTGCATTTTTCTGAACACAACTTACAATATTGTCACACTTTTTGCTTCTACCAGTTTGTGAGACTTTGGGCTTTCGTTTTATTTTTCTTTCCATGTGGAAATTTATATCCCTTTCCAATATGTGTTGGAACCATATTATTTCAGTGTTTTATTTTTACTTCCCTCCCCCTAAAAGATTTCAGTTTGTTGTTCAACCGAGTTGTACAGTTCATAGGTCTCATTAAAGGTGGCAAAATTTCTGAAATGATTTATCTTTGTCTCATTTTTTTTACATCAAGACACTTGACATTTTAATGGGTATGTGTAAACTTTTTATATCCACTGCAGATTCTAAAAAGACAAGATTTTTAAAAGTTTCATTTGTATTGGTCATGGCAGCTATTTTCTTAGAGATGCCCAGCTGGTCATTTGCTGCAATGCAAGTCTTGCTTGCTCTAAAAAATCAATGCAAGACACCAAGGTCTTCTGTCTTTTTTATTCTGTTTCCATTGGCCAAAATCTTATTGAGGGTTTACAATGGCATATAAGTATTATCATCAATTGTGAAGGTGAATTTCTAATCATCAGCAAGTTCCTGATCTCATTCCTGGTTGTGTGCCAAGTTGCACATGTGGCATGCAACTAGCAATGCAAGCAGCAACTTCTGAAACAGCAGCAGTTCATTCCAATGGTTGATGAAAACTCATGCAATACCAGCCTAAATTTCCAATAGGTTGCTAGTCCTACTTTGATTATTATTGCTACACAAGCATGCAGCAATCCTTATTGTGTAAGAGACCAATTCAGTATTCCAGAAGGCAATTCAAAAACTAGGGGGACCCTAGCAGTCGAGATGGTCTACAGGATACCCTCATATGCTCACTACCACTCACACTTGTTGAAAAACAGCCCTGACAATTGCTTTGTGTCTGGACAAGAAGTGGCTAACTGATGAAAAAAAAGGGGTCAGCTTCTGGGATTTTTCCTTGTGTGGAAAAATCCATTCACTTTGTGAATTGTAGTGAGCACAAGAGAGTATCCTGTAGACCTTCTTTACTATTAAGCACAAGAAGGTATCCTGTAGACCATCTTTACTATTGCAATGGTGTTGTCAACATTCAGGCTGCCTTTTCTTATGTAAAGCTTGGCATCCTTTTTCCAGCTGTCAATGCAGACACAATATTGTGCAGTAATATCAGGCCATTCCATGGCTTTTTGAATAGTTGCTACAGAAGCACATTCATAAAACAGTTTGTTTCTAAATAACTGAATTATATATTAACACTGGTGTTATCAACAGTATTATCAAATTTCAGAAACTAACTGCCACAAGTTTAGTCAGCGTAGGCATTTTCTGTGCACTGAGTTACAACATTTGGTATGAAATAGCAAATGCCCACACTAACTTCTTAACCAGTGACTATTTGCCATTGAAGTTTCTGCCAATTGGGTTACGTCAGGGATGTAACTAACAGGATTCTGGTCTTAACCTGTTGCTTTGAGTAGCTGTACTTGAGTTCTCAGAATATCAGCAGATAATCCAGACTTCGGATTGTTTAATTCATCGGGAAGGCTGGGGGTAAATAGAGCATGATCCTACCTCTTTTGGTTCTGTCTTCACTGGAGCTGCTTCTTTTGACTTGGGCTTTGCTTGTGGGAAACAAAACAGCTGTTCTATGCTTGTATAGTCTGGCTCAATGGTCTCTTCACTACTGCTGGTTACCGAAGCCCACATAGAGTGACCTTCTAGAAGACACAAAGCATTACATTTAATGGCAGCTGGACACTTTCACTTTAAATACATCCCTTCAAAAAAGATAAGTGTTCACTCAAGCATTTGTACTGGGGAAGGGGATTGGACACCAAGTCAACAGGGAGAAAAAAAGATCACAATTACCCAAGCTTTGTTGTTGTTAGGTGCCATGAAACTGCTTCCAACTTAAGGTGACCCTATGAATTAATGACCTGCGAAAGGTCCTCCCAGTGCCAGCCCTGCACACATCTAAATAAAATTATACCTTCTACAGGTTGCTATAATGGGTTTCTGTTAAATGGCTGAAAATGGCTTTCACTAAAATTATTGGGCTTTTAAAACTGAACTGGCCCCTTGACCCATCCAAGGGTCAACATATAATAAATACAAAGGGGGCAGGATGCTGGGGTGTTATTAAATGGCCCTAGAGATCGCATGTGGTCAGTGAGCTGCATTTTGTCCATCTCTGATCTGGAGTGTCACACACTGACCCATCTTACCCGACACTGAATCTTGGCCCTATGCAAATCCAACAGCAGAACAGTACGTTCATGGCACAGGATCTGAGGATTATATTGTGGATCTCAGTATCCAAAACTGGGACCGAACCTGGTAGAGCTCAATTTTTACCCCCAAGAATCTAGAATAGTGGTTTCCATCCTTGGGTCCCAAGATGTTCTTGGACTGCAACTCCCAGATGCCTTCACCACTATCTGTGTTGGCCAGGATTTCTGGGAGTTGTAGTCCAAGAAAATATGGAGATCCATATTTTAGATCTCTTAGACATTCCAAAGAAGACCCTGGTTTCACAGCCATTGAAGCTCCCTAATCCACATGCTCTTCAGAATGGATTTAACTTAAAACTTGGAGCAACCTTCAAAGAGGCAGATGTTCTTCTCTATCGCAAACTCTGTAGGCATTATTCAGATACCTCAAAGATTTCATTTCAAACGTTTTAAAATTGCTTTTGGTGGAAGAAGATGACACAGGGAATAACACAATGCACCGAATCCTTTCTTTTCTCCTAATTCTAAACAGATCAGGGAAGCCTCGCCTATAGTTTAATGTTACGTTGCACCTGAAAAGAAATCTGCAAGGGAACTGATAACATGAAAATCAAAGGTAGCACCATAATGTTTGTGGCACCACTAAGCAGATCCTGCTCTAACTGCGATTCAACTCAAGCAAGCATGAAACAAGATGGCAGAGGGAGACCTTAACATAGGTACTGGTTCAACCGGGGAGGGGGGGGGCGCAGACGAGCCTACCTCTCACCACATTGGAAGGGAGCTTCTGCCAATTGAGTTTCTTCATCCTCAAGGTTGGAGGCTTCACCTTCTTGCGGAAGGGTCTGGCAAATCCAAGGGAATGGTCAACCTGTGCAACAATGACCTCCTCCACGTTGCCTCCTAGAGGTGGAGGAGGTGGGACACCTGCCATGCCAGGCAATGGGGGAGGAGGTGGGACACCTGCCATGCCAGGCAATGGGGGAGGAGGAGGTGGCATACCTGGGAGTGGAGGAGGAGGAGGGATCCCTGTCATGCCAGGTAGAGGTGGAGGTGGGGGTGGCATGCCTGGCAGTGGCGGAGGCGGTGGGATCATGGTTGTACTAGGCAAAGGGGGTGGAGGTGGAGGGATCCCTGTCACCCCAGGCAGTGGAGGAGCCTGAGGTGGCATCTCATTCATGCCAGGGAGAGGTGGTGGTGGTGGTGGAGGAGGAGGTGGAAGCTGCTGTGCTCCAGGGAGTGGAGGAGGAGGAGTAGGAGTTGGAAGACCACTAGATGGAGATGGAGTTTGTCCTGGTGAAGCTGAGCAAGGCAGCAGCTGGGATAGCGTAACTTTCTCAGGCACATCTGGTGGCTGTGAGTTGGGCAGGGCACTTGAAGAGCAGTTCACTGCCGAGAAGCTCTGGATGGCATTTGAATGTCCTCCCAGATCTTCATTGGTCTGGGTACTCTCATCTGCTTTGCTGGTCATTCTTCTGATTTCTGAACTTCTTTTCTTTGGGCGCTTCTTGATGGACAACAGTCTCTCCATGACTTCTTCCACACTGTTGCCTTCTACTGCAGAACAATTCAGACAAGTGTAGACATGTGGAAGAGGCGCCGAACATAATGGTCAGAATCCTGTTGCTTAGCAAAGTAAATCACACTAGGGGCGACCTATGGAATCAATGGGGATTTAATGAGTCAATTCCTCTGTAAGTTCCATTGATTCAAGTGGGTCTACTCTAACAGTGACTTCTATGGTAACATAAGTCGCAGTTAGAGTAAGCCCATTTGAAACAATGGAAGTTACAGAAGAGTTGACTCTCCAAATCCCCACTGATTCAGTGAGATTTACTATGCCCAGTAACAGGATGTTGGCCATTTAAAAGCAATTATATAATATTATGTATTTTTTAAAAAAACAGACACACAAAAAAGTTACAATACGGTTTGTTATTTAAATGACTAGGAAACCCTCGTGTTGTTTGTTGTGGTTGATCATACCTGTTCCTACAACTGTTGACTGTGTCAAATTAGGATAACACAATGATGGCAATTAAGATTCGCTCAGTAACCTCTGGGTAGAGTGGGCGGCATATAAAATAAATAAATAAATAAAATAAAATAACCTTTTCAGGGCCATGGTGCAAAAGCTAAGTTCAGTGACACAAATCTCTATGAAGTAATAGACCAATTATAACCCAGGGCTTTACACATGGCATAGATGTTTTCATCATCATCATCATCATCATCATCATCATCATCATCATCATCATCATCATCATCATCCTAAAAGTGCAGAGCTCGAAACGACCCTATGGATCATCAATTCCAGCCTCTGTCAAGTAGGCACAGCGGGGAACTGAATTCCTAACCCCTAACTCTGCAGTCGGATAGCTAAACTTCTAAGTAATAGGATAGCCTTTTCCAGGGGTGCTTGGTTCCCCCCCCCCACAGGGTTAGGTGCAGGTGCAAAGTAACGTGTTAGCCCCACCAGGCAGGCATGATCATTTTCTAATGCTGTTCCTGTAGCACTCTGATGAGAAGACAAATAATGAGTATAGGAAGGGGACGTAACGTGCACATTCAATTCATGTGCCAATTAGGCTGAACATCCCTTTCCAAACTACCCCGTGCAAAAATGAGGGTCTTTAGCTTGAGCCCAGAATCCTTTACAATCTGCAGGAATTGCAGGAGAGATGCAAGAAGGAAAGATGCAAGAAAGAGAAGGAAAGAAATAGATGGCGCCTTCTGTCCTTGGGAGTGCTCCATTTCATCAAAGCCTTGCCAGGCTCCTGTTGGCAAGGGCAGAAACACTAATTTTCAGAGATTGTCCTCCGTTGCTAGAGAGCCAGTGGTTGGGAGTTCAATCCCCCGTTGTGGCTCCTGCAAGCAGAGCCAGCCTCTCTCGTCTTGAGCAAGCTGCACTGTTCCAGAGCCCCCCCTCTCAAGAAAAAGGCAATGGCAAATCAATTTTGAGTATTCTTTACCTGGAAAACCCTGGAAAAGAATCACCATAAGTCAGCATTGACTTGATGGCACATAATTTGAACCATGACCATCACCACTGCAGGTCTATGTGCGCAAACAAGGGGAAGGGAAAGTTTAAGGTGGGTTTTAAAGCTGATCAGCATTTCTCTCTGCATTGCAGGTGTAACATGGATCTGACATGGCTGTGATTCCAGCAGACCTGTGTTCTCTCCCTTTCTGCCCACCACCACCCATCTTTTGCCTTTCTGCACAGGAAGCCTTTCAGGTGGAAAACTCTGCATGAGCTTGAAGGGAAAAGCCAACTTCAGATCGCCACTGCAGAAGGAGAGTTCTGATTTCTCCTAGCTTAGCTCATGATGTGTTGCTTGGGATCATGATTCTGCGGCCTTTGTGATGGAAGCAAAGTATGCCACTTTCATAAAATGAAACAAACAATGAGCTCTTGCTTCAGTCATTTTACGCACTCTCTCTTTCCTTCTCTCTCCAACAGGTCTGTCTGTGCATTGTAAGAGAATAATCTTATGCTTGTTGTGGGTTTTTCGGGCTCTTTGGCTGTGTTCTGAAGGTTTGTGTGTGGGTATTTTATTTTTACCTTCAGAACACGGCCAAAGAGCCCGAAAAATCCACAACAACCAATCTTATGCTTCTTCTGGAGCATCTAAAAATGGCATCTAAAAAAATAACAGATGCAAGATGACATACGACAGAGCTGACGTCTTAAGAAAGAGTTCTTGAGGGTGTATCCCTCCCATCAGTTTGGCTCACAGGCTAAAGCACGCTGGGAAAAAGTAGTGAAAAGGGGGAAATTCACCATAGTGTGCAGAGAAATATCACCATGAGGTTATATATTTCTTATAATTTTCTCTTCTATTGAATTTCCTTTAAACACAGACCTGCCAGAAGTAGCATTCCCTACATAGTTAACACAGCTTCAGTTACGTACAGGATTAAATATCAAACATTTTGGTCTGAATCTTACTGATGATTTAGCATACATAAGTGAAACTGTGTAAGCTACAGCAGTCAATTGCTGCTAGCTGATAAGGTGCCAGTCACATTCCTAGTCATGTAGAAGGTCACAGGACTGTCATGTGACCAGGAACATGAATGTCACCTCATTAATTAGTGGCAATTTCTTACCAGTCATTCCATAATTTCAGTTACGCATGGATAAATTGCAAAAAGAATCACATCCTCCACCTGTATTGCACTGAGGTCTATATTTATTCTACATGTTCTGCACCACCAAACAGAGTGTGTTTCAGACTTACTGTCATTGGCAAGCAAGATGGCTCTGTTTACTAAGATTTCTAAGGATTCCCATAGCAAGAGGCTGGAGCGATGGGAAGGTTCAAGATGCAGGAGACTCTGGAGAATGGACAGCAGTTGGACTGAGACTGGGAAGCTGCTCACCTGAAAAATAAAATACCCACACACAAATTCAACTGCTATCCTTAGCATGTGTCACTCTTCTGGCATTGAATCTATGCTATCTTAAACTCAGAAGCGAAAGTTTAACCAGGAGTGATGATGGCTGTAAAAGTCAATCAAATTTCCCAGTCATGGAAGATCTTGTATATTTATAAACAAGAAATTATTGATGTAACTTGTTTTGTTTTGTTCTTGCAGGTGGAACTGAAGCATTTTTGAGAGTCACCCTGTGCAGAGTCTAATGGGAAGAGACTACCAGGCCCCAAATTCCTTTCAGCTCTCATGAAGCTAAGCCCCACACATCTGCCTGTCTTCTCTGGAGGATGAAAAATGGCTACAGGAGCCTTAATTTACCACCTGTAAGAACTTGAAACACCTGTCAGGATTTTTATTTCAGAATGCTGATTGGGGGAATTCCTGGTGAACTCTGGAAGTTGAAGTCCAAGAAATACTGAAGTCTCATGCTTATTTACAGTTTGTAATAAGTTTGTAATATGTATGTACTAGCCAATTTCAGTTTGTTTTTTTAAGCAGAAGTGTTAAAATCAAATAAATATATAGAAGTTGCATTGAAAGATACTCACTTTGTTGAACAGACAACAGAAAACCTCTTGATGGTTGCTCATGTCAATCCCATCACATATCTTTAACAGTTCTTCATCATCCTCAGCTTTGGCTTCCTCAAATGCCTCACACTGAATAATCAGGTCCACATCCTCTATGTCTCTGAACAGAGACCAAAGTCATACATTTTAGCATAATCCTCAATTTAAAAATGAATTCATTTCAAATGAAATGGATGTCCTCAACTTGCTCCTTATTCCTATCTCTCACTGATAACATGTGTCTATGCATCCAAATCACACATTTTTAAAGAAACATCTTTATAGTTTAACAACCTTAAAAGCATCGGAGAAAGGAAGTTTGCAGGTTTGAGAATATTGTGGTTATCCCCATGAAAACATACTCATAAAGCAATAGAAAACGTCAATCAGTAATAGAGATGTTCTCCTTATGAATGCAACTAAGGACAGTCCAGTAAATCATGGACAGATCAAGGTCAACATTCTACTGGATATTTATGTGCACTGAATGTGCGCCTGAGCCAGAAGTGTGAAACATGACTTTTTAAAAAATTGCCTACAATTCCTGGAGTACCCAATTCTTTCTTTCTTTCTTTCTTTCTTTCTTTCTATCTATCTATCTATCTATCTATCTATCTATCTATCTATCTATCTATCTATCTATCTATCTATCTATCTATCTATCTATCTATCTATTTAATACCCCATCCATCTAGACTGAAGAAGTCAGTCAGTCAGTCTATCTATCTATCTAATACCTCATCCATCTAGACTGAAGTCTACTCTGGGCAGCTAACAGCGATCCATAAAATAATAACAATATAAAATAAAAAACAATATTAATATAATTGAAGACGGCAAGAAATAAATTCGCTCCATAAGACGCACCGATTTTTTAGGAGAAGAAAACAGGAAAATATAATCTGTTTTCTTCGCTCCATAAGATGCACAGACTTTCCACCCCCCTGTTTTGTGGGAAAAAAGTGAGTCTTATGGTGCAAAAAATACAGTAGATGATATCCAGAGGTGAGGGGAAACAAATGGGCAACCAATGCAGGGTGGGCAGAGGGGGGGGGATATACTGATGTTTTTCTCACCCCACTGAGAAGTCTGGCCACCATGTTCTGCACCATTTGAAGCTTCCGCATCAATCTCAAAGGTAGCCCTACATAGAGCGCATTACAGTAGTCTAATCTCAAGGCGACAAGCGCATGGACCAGAGTGGTGAATGCCCTAACATCAAGATAGGGACGCAGCTTGGCAATCTGCCTGAGATGGAAACAGGCAGAGCAGACACCACTGACACTCCTGGGTTTCCATGGTGAGTGCTGGATCCAGACAGAACCCCAAGCTGTGAACCTCACTCTTCCCAAACCACCGATGGCAGGGCCATGCACCCTCAGAACCTCCATCTTGTCTGGGTCCAGCCTCAGCCTGTTCACCTTTATCCACTGCAATATGTCACCCCACTGAGAAGTCTGGCCACCATGTTCTGCACCATTTGAAGCTTCCGCATCAATCTCAAAGGTAGCCCTACATAGAGCGCATTACAGTAGTCTAATCTCAAGGCGACAAGCGCATGGACCAGAGTGGTGAATGCCCTAACATCAAGATAGGGACGCAGCTTGGCAATCTGCCTGAGATGGAAATAGGCAGAGCGGACACCACTGACGCTCCTGGGTTTCCATGGTGAGTGCAGGATCCAGACGGAACCCCAAGCTGTGAACCTCACACTTTGTGGTGAGAGTCACTCCCCCCAAAAGAGAGGGAGTTTCCCAAACCACCGATGGCAGGGCCACCCACCCTCAGGACCTCCATCTTGTCCGGGTTCAACCTCAGTCTGTTCACCTTTATCCACTGCAATATGGCTTCCAGGCAGAGCTGAAGGGCCAAAACGACATCCACTGTTGTTGGAAAAAAGGAGATGCAGACCTGGGTGTCATCAGCGTACTGATGATACAAAGCCCCACACTCCCTGATGACGCCTCCCAGCAGCCTCATATAGATGTTAAATAGCATTGAGGAGATAATCAAGCCCTGCGGAACCCCACAATCGAGACTCCACGGGGCCGATACACTTTCCCCAAGCTGTATTCTCTGAGGATGGTCCTCCAAGAAGGATCGGAGCCAGGCAAGTGCTAGACCACCAATTCCCAGCTTGGAGAGCCTCCCCAGGAGGATACCATGGTCGATGGTATCAAAGGCGGCTGAGATATCAAGGAGGACCAACAGAGACGTTTTGCCCCGTCGACCTCCCTCAACAGGTCATCAAACAGGGCAACCAATGCCATTTCCGTGCCGTGGCACAGCCTGAAGCCTGACTGGAATGGACCCAGGGCATTGGTTTCATCCAAAAGACCCTGGAACTGGTCAGCCCCCACCCTCTCTACCACTTTGCTGAGGAAAGAAACATTGGCGATGGGCCTATAATTGCCAGTGTTGTTTGCCAACAAATTTGGTTTCTTCCTAATGAGTTTATCTTTGAGGGCAAGGGGAACCTTGCCCTCCTGGAGAGACCCATTAATCATTGCAGTGCCCCATTTGATTGTCACAGGCCTGGCTGCTTTGACTAGCCAGGCCGGACGAGGGTCAAGAGAGGAAGTGGTGGCACGATAGCGACCAAGCACCCCGTCCACCATATCTGACGTTACAGGCTGAAAGATATTACATCTCATCAGGCAAGGTGGAGCGATGGTCATTTCTGCTCAATCTACTGTTTTCAAAAAAGGAGAAAGATCCTGGCAGATGGCCTCCACTTTAGATTTTTTTAAAATGCTGCAAGTTGGTCAGGTGAAATGCTAGTGGGAGGCCTATCACTGAGCCCAATTCCGGATAGATCGCGTACTATACGGAAGTTTTCCAGCTCCTGATTTGAAGTTTCGCTTATCCAGACAGCGAAGTAAGCTCGACTAGCAGCCCTTGCCCTGGTAATGGTCAGTCGCAATCTGCGATGTAGAGGGCGTTTGGGAGCGATCGTGTCAACAGCCCTGGTAGTGGTTAATGTTAAATATGTCATTCAAAATGGGTGACAACAGAAAGAAGTAACCAAGATGTAATGGTTGGCCGGAAGATTTGTACTGCTAAGGAAGTGCTTCCCTCAACATTATGCGTGCTTCATTTACACAGCTGTAAAACAGACCTCAGGTATATGTCAAAAACTCACCGCAGCTTGGTTAAAATATCCAGTAACTGGAGACCTGGAAGCAGGAAAAGACAAGAAATGTTTACAATACAGTCTCCTGGACATTTTACTGGAGGTAAAATTTTCAAATCCATTAATAGGATGAAACATGTTTCTTAGCATATGCAGAAGGAGTGACAATAAAGGGGAAGAAAAGCCTTTTCTGGAAACTACCAATTAATATACGGAAATGGAATAATAAATCAAAAGTTATTTGATGGGTTGATAATCCAGACAGATTCATTCTCGCCTAAATGGTTGAGGGCCAAAACAGCTGAGCGGAATACGTTGTGCTAGACCTGTCTGACGAAGGTTCAACATCAAATTCAAGTAATGGAATTATCAAGTCGTTTCAAGCATCCTAATGAAATCTTCAGGAATGCAGCTTTAACTTTTTTTTTAAGCAAAGCTTAATTGATTTAGTACAGGGGAGAAAATGCAATTAGTGGACCTGAGAATCAGAGATACTGTACACTTCTTTATTTTGAAACTCATTTGTCGTTCTGGTGAATAACAGAGGATCAAAGCAAAAACAAAGTCAACCTTGATTTGACCTTCTAGTGATCCTTGGTAGTTGTCTCCATTATTTTGGGATGTGGCCAACAAGGTGTTGGCAGGTGAAGAACATGATAGGTTTTTAAAGGGATTTTTTGGAGGGGCTTACGGGCCACATTGGGGTTCCTTCAAGTTGCCCGTGGGGTTGCCCACTGCTGTCATACTGTGAATTTATTTCCAGGAGGTCCCCAACCCTTGAACCCATGGAAGAAAAGTCATATAAATTTGTAGCACTGTCTTTCATCTGTTGTAGGCAGCCATGCTGTATCTACGGGGTGACAATCTCCAGAGATCTGGGGGTTGCACAGGCTCATCTCTGGACCATGGGGACCCCATGTCCAATTTCACATTTTGGTTCCTGGGGTCCTGCAAACACCCACACGCACCAACACCCACTCCTGAGATCCTCTCAAAACATGGGAAAACTGCCTCAAAGAGGAGTTCTTGAACTGGTTTTTCATTTTTTAAAAAAGGGATGTGGAGACTAAAGAGCCACATTAGAGTTCCTTGCAGTTGGCTGTGAGGAACCCATATCCTGAATGTTTTTTTTTCCAGAAGAACCCCAACCCTTGAGTGATGGAGTGACCATTTTGTGCACCTCAAAGTACATTCTCCTAGCAGATAGCCATCACTGATATGTGATATGAGAAAAACTCCTTACCCATTAAAACATTGCAATGTGATCGCATTAGCGATCTAAAAAAACAGATCGCTATGCGGATTCGTCGTTAAACGGTGCGCTCATTATGCGAGGCACCACTCTGTTTGTGCACTCATTATGCAAGGCACCACTGTATTTTGACTACAACCTCACATATCAACAGCCATTCTGGCTCTTGGATTTTGGAGGGTGTAGTCTAAAATGGAACATTTTCCATCTCTAGAAAGGAAATTTCCTCTAGTTAGAAATTATAATTTAAGTTACCTGCTGAAAAAATGTTATGAGTGTATCCCCTATTCTGAGGTACTCCGGAGAGTCTAAAAGCAGAGCTATTTGCCTTGCCCATGCAACGCATCATGAACCACCCTTACCAATGAACTCATTCCGAAGTTGTGTCCTTGCTCTTAGTTCTTCCATCCCTAATATGATTGCATTGATAGCACCCAGGAGCGTTATCATATACGGCACATTGTCGGTGGCTGAGAGTTCGTTCATGACCACACTGAACCGGTACTGTTGGTTTTTCACTGTCTGGGGGAGAAATAAGGCAAATCACAGACACGGTGAATCAAAATCTGTCATTCACATTCAAGAAGAAGCAGGAACATGTAAAGCTTCATTACATCAAAGGAAAGAATGCTGCTTATATACCACCACCAAAGCGTTGAAAGCTCTAATTTAATTATTGCACACACATCTAATTTAATTATTGCACACACAGCCAGCAAGCTGGCTACTCAATTTGATAATAATAATAAAATAATAATAATCCATAGGGCTGGAAAGGACCCTATGGATCATCAAGTCCAGCTGTGTCAGGGAGGTACAACGGGGGAATCAAACTCCCAACTTCTAGCTCCGCAGCCAGACACTTAAACCGCTGGGTTATCCAGCATCTCTTTATAAATCTTGGAGGGAAGGAAGGCTGAGTGAACCTTGAGCTGGTTACCTGCGCTTGTTGGGATCACACTCAGGTCTTGAGTCTTCACTGCACTACTGCAGTTTAAGCATTGTGCCACAAGGCTTATATATCAGATCAGAAAACCTGGGAATTTAGCCTTGACTAGTATGGTCTCTTTTGACCGGCAGTAACCTTCAAGCATCTCAGCAGGTCTTCCCCTGTCACTTAGTACTCAAGAACTTTAAACCCTAGGGCAAAATCTAGCTCTCAAGGGTCTCAATCTGGCCCTAAGTGTTGACCAACATACCTCCTTCTCTATTTTAACATTGCTAAGTATTTAGTTTTTTGTGCTTTCAAAAATGTTGTAAAGCATCTTCTAAGGCTTACTTACTGGCAGTAAAAACTTTAGGGTAGAATGAGGCACACTTAGGGCTGGCAGATCTGGCTTTTTTTGGGGGGGGACTAGTATTCCCCAAACTCCCAAGGCTGGGGAATTCTGGGAGTTGTAGTCCAAACACTCAACTCTGCCCAGTTAAATGAAAATGCTTTTCAATCCTATTCGTTGGCTCCAACCAACTTCGGAATGTAGCTTCCTAGAAGCTCTCTAAAATCTGTACACACCCAAAAAAACCAAATCCAGTCCTCGGGCTGAAAGAGGTTGTTCCCTGTAATCTTTTAAATGGCAGATGTCGGGGGCTGAACGTGGGAGGTTCGGCAAGGTTCAGCAAGGCCGTGCCTCTGCTGCTAAGCGACCATTCTTCCACGAACTGAAAAGCAACCAAGTTCTCATGACGTAGGCCTCCATTATGGGAAACACTCTCCCTCTGTCACAACATTTCCCACTCTCTTGACTTTCATTTCTCTTTCTCCAGCGACTGTGTAGGCAGCAACTCCCACAACACTAAGAATTTGGGGACACTGAAATAGATTGGCAGAAGATCTGGGGCAGGCAGAAGAAAAGGGGTCTTCACACAGCGCCTCATCAACTGAGAGCATTCTTGGCTAACCAATGTTTTAAGAATAGCCACTGATTTTGGTGTGGTTGACCTAAGGAGATGAAAAACAAGGCAGGCAGGAGAAGGTAAAAGGTAAAGGTATTTCTCCAGGCTCCAGGTACATGTGTCACAGCTTCGCTTCACAGGGTGAAAAGGGCACGAGTGCAAATGTAGGAAAGAGGGAGGCAATCTGGATTACAAACGTTTTCTAATTGGTTTGCTATTTTTTTATTTAATTTATATGCCGCCCCACACTACCCAAAGGTCTCTGGGGGGTTTACTACAATTATAATACAGTAAAAAAGATAAAACAATTAAAATACAATTAAAATATATACTCTAAAAATTGCTATCAGGACCCACAGTTGATATTATTAGAATTAAAAGCCTTCTGGAATAGAACATCATCAGCGTCGGCGCCAGACGAATCTGACTTGGGAGGGTGTTCTATAGTCTGGGGGCAACTGCTGAAAAGGCCCTTTGTCTACAAGCCGTCCCTCTTACCTCCTTGAGGGACGGCTCTTTCAGGAGGGCCCTCTGGCTAGATCTTAATTTGTTTAGTTGCAGGGAGGTTTGGGAAGGGCAGAAGAACTTAAAAATTGCACCCAGATCTCTACTCTGATGGTTCACTTGACCACCTCTTTC